AACAAAAACTCCGTAACATAGATCAAATTTTCATATGGGTAAATTGAAGCACCCAAAAGCCCTAACATTTGACGACTTGGAATCTCATAGTAAGGCACCGTAGTTGGCTTGACAAAATAGGGTTTAGGTCGACGCTGCTAAGTCTGATCCGGTGCTTGTTCACCTACATACATATGGTAAACAATGAGTTAAAGCCTAGTGAATAATAATAATGTAAAAGGGCAATGAATGATGTCCTTGCGGTAATTGAAACAGTCAATTTCATCAGTAAATCATTTCCTCAATCAGTGTCTCGTAACATATCAGTCATTTCAAAATCATAACAGTCATACTTGGTACATCCAATAGCAAAATAGTACAGTAGGTCTTAAAGACCGAAACAGTCCTCTATGATGGCCATCAACACAGTAAACAGTAGTTTCAAAGATTGTAACTGACAAAAATCTCTGTAATAGTAGCAGTAACAGATGCTATGGATGTCATAATTACAGTTCATAAAATAGGACAATCATTTATTCAGTAAACAATATCATTTCAAAAAACAGTACATTTTATCGATCAGAAAATAATTATAGTTGAACATAGCTTTACAACATTGTTACTCACAGTTGGCTCCTTGAAACACGTGACTAAGATGCGGCGTTCGACCTACACAACCAAATTCAAGCACAACAATTCCAAATTACATTCAATATGTTCAATCGGTTCTTAAACCTATTCAGTTATTCGTTGTTTATTTATTTGGTTCTAACTATTCATTCTTTATTCTATTTTCCATGAAATGTCTTGAAATGCATATTGTGATGACCCAGACTTGCTAATCGTGATTTTAATTAATTAATTGTGTTAATTTTAATTGAACTAAGTGCCTAGTAATTTAATTTATACTTGTCTATCCAAATTGGAAAAATTACCTATTAAGGTTATAACTTTGAAACTGAAATCGACAATCTTATTGGGTGCACAAATTGAAATTGAGTGCATGGATGGACTCATGGGAATTTTTAGAGCCATTTGGGAAGTTTAATTGAAAATTGATTCAGTTTACTAAAATTGTCTGTGATTGAATTGAGCCTTAATTGAAATTATTAATTATGTTCCTACATGTTAATTATGTGATTAAATGTTATTGATTGTTATGAGATTTATTGACTTGTATTGTTTGAACAGATAGGTTAGAATAAAAATTAAACCTGTATGATTCGCTAATTTTAACAAGTTAGAATTAAATAATTAGATAAGAATTAGAGTCTAATTCACATTTATATAATTAAATTTATTGTAATTGAGATTTTATTGTGATGAGGATTAATTTAATTTGCGTAGATTTGATTTTTATTTAACTTAATTAGAATAAATTAATGGTTTAAAGCTAAATGAATTAATGATAATAATAATTTGGAATACTGCTCGTTTTTTAATCAACAAACATAGTAAGAGAGAGAGTACTTGGTTGCCTAGGTTTAATCATCTTTTTGACATACCAAACATGCCCACCAGGTAGAGAGAGAGAATGAGGGGAAAAGAGAGGGTTGAGTTCAAGAAGGAAGAAGAAAAGTAGGAGCTTGAGCTATATTTCAATAAACCACCAAATTAAGGTAAATTTCATCTCAAAATTCATGAAATTGAAATGATACACTCCTAATTCCTTAGCATCTAGGTTCAAATAGGAAGGATTTTGGAGTAATTAGGAGTTCTTGGAGAAAAAATGAAGTTGAGAATCCATATATAATCATAAAAGTAGAAATTGAAGGAGATAGTGTAATATATTCACATGCATGGCATAATTTTAGTTCAAACACCTATAAGGTTGCATGATCCTTACATGCATGTCATGTTTTCAAAAATTCATGAACAAAACAATTGTTTACTTGCATGGTTTATGAACTTTAAGAAAGAAATCTCAAAAGTTTTGGAAAAGAACATAATTTGTATATATAATGGTAATTTACACTTAAAAATGTTTGAGTCCAAAAAATATGATCATCTCATGGACAAATTTGTTTTACATACAAGAATTATTACTTGGTCTCTCATAATTTCTAGGAAATTCTCATATAAAAGCTTGAGTTGTAGCTTGAATACACATTTTAATATTTTACAATTTGCTTTAAAGATTTTTGGTTATAAATTGAACAATTAAGTATTGTTATAAATTTATGGCTTTGTTCAAAGTCACATCTATAAAAATTAATGTTTTTTTGAAAGAAGTTTTCGGCCTTGTATTGTATGAAATTGAAGTTGGAAATTGTAATTTGCATGGTTTGAAAATGTTTGTCATGTGCATTGCATCTCATGAACACGAATAATGTATAGAACAAAAGTTAGAACCGAATTAGTGAACAACGAAAAGAAATCGAATAAATTAACAGTCGACTGAATAGAAATGACTTGAATGTAATTGAATTGTGTTTGAATTTGTTTGTTTAGGTCAGACGCCACATCTTTAACGCATTGTTAACACGTGTTTCAGGAAGCCCACTGTGAGTAACACTGTTGTAAAGATATGTTCAATTGTATTTATTTTCTAATTGAAAAATCATATTGTTTTCTGAAATGATACTTTTTATCGATTGAATGATGATTCTATTTTGAACTGTATTCATGGCATCCATAGCATATTGCTATTGTTATTGATAGTGTTATCACTATTGTCACCGCTATTGTCACAGAGATCTCTGTCAGTTCCAATTCTTGGAACTATTGTCTATTGTTTGATGGCCATCAGTTAATTGTTCGGTCTTCAAGACCTACTGTATTGTTGCTATTGGATGTACCACGTATGACTTATATGAATCTAAATGATTGTTAAATTGACCGATTGAATGATTGATTGACACAAGATATTGATTGAGAAAATGTTCTATTGATAATCGATCGTTTCAAATATTGTGAGGACATCATTCATAACCCCTTTACGCAATTGTTGTTCACTGGGCTCTAGCTCATTGTTTATTATATATATGTAGGTGATCGGACACCAGATCAAAGTTAGCGGCGTCTACCCGAACCCTGTTCTTGTCAAGCCAACTATTGTGCCTCACTACGAGATTTCGAACCATTGCATGTCAAGGTTTGTTGGGTGATTCAAATTCACCCTTTTGACATTATGTTTATGAGATAAGAATGTTTATTGAGTTTTGTTAACTGTTTTTGGCAATGGTATTTAATTCCCTAGCTTATGTTTTGTTGTGAACACATGTGTGTTATGGACTTAAGTGTTTGTATAATTTCAAGTGTATGAAATTTGTTTTATTCATTTAAGTCTCCACAGCTCATTGGACGATAGTTTCTATTATTAATTGGCTTCTGCAACCCCTATTGCGGTGTTATTGACATTATTGTTAAACAGGCCTTTAGTAATCACGAATTACTGGCCGGTTACAGCGCTAAACCTATAGGGGCTTAGGTCGTAACACATATGCATATGAAAAACATTTGAAAACCATGCAAATGGAGGTTTGGAAGTTAGAAAAATAGAAGGAAAACAAAATCGAGCCTGCCCTGTTGGTCATACGTGCAGTGGCCTTGGCCACACTAGCGGTTTAGGATGAAATGCGGTCCGAAATTTGTTCTTGTTTTTGGACTTTAATTTCTTCAAAACTAGGCTCTAAATTCATGTATTTCATCCCAAAAATTCATATAACAAGCTTGAATTTGGACCTTTAACATCAAATAGAAATCAAAACTTGTAAATAAATTCCAAATTGAAAGATCAAAGACTCCAAATAAATATAAACATATGAACCATGTGTTTTAAAGCTTTTATTTCAAAATTCTTGAGCTAATCCCCTTGAAAGCTTTAAAACTCACGAAGATCATGCAAGACATTATGTGTTTAAACAAGAATATCCTGAATCCATGCCATGCATGTGAAGATTTGAGCTCAATTCCTACAATTCCTTCCTTAGTTGCTCATATAAACTCTTTTCATCAATTAACATCATTAAACTCCTAATCATACATGATTTCTTCTTGAGTTAACTTAAATTCTATGATTTCATGGGTAATACAACTCAAGTTTATGAAATTGGAAAAGACCTACCTTTGTTGCTTGAATTGTTGAAATTGCCTAGTTCTCTTCTTCCTCTTCTTCTTGAATTCTCTCTCCCCCTCTAGAACTCTCTCAAAATATTTATCTTTTGTCTCTACAAAGCCCACTTACTCTCTCTTATTTCCTCTTTTCTTTATTCAATTTGATGAGTAGGATTTCTAGTTCTCATACTATTCTTAATTATCCTTAAATTAATTTAGGCTAATAAATCATATTAATTGAAACTACACTAATTATGAACTTAATTAATTTATCACTAATTGAACTAAACTTAATCATACTAATGTGGATTAGGCTCTAATTATCTATCTAAATATTTAATTTAACATTGTATAAATTACTGATTCAGACAGGTTCAATCTTATCCCTTATACATTTGTCCACAATAACACAATTCAAATAACACATGACATACAATTTACACTTAATCACATAATCAATGTTAATCACAGATTAACTTAATTAATCAAGGGGTGGTCATTACAGGTTGTTGGAGGAAGATTGCACGGTCAAACAAGTAGAATTGCAATTATGGTAGGTACTCAAAAAAACAAAAACAAAACAAAAAAAAAAAAAAAAGAAAAGAAAAGAAAAGAGAGTAATTTTGGTGTGTGGAGGTCCTAAGTAATTAGGTGAGGGATATTATCAGCTCCCCTTGATAAAATACCATTTCTGTTTGTAACGCTCCAAATTTCAAGCCCAGATGATAATACAACAATTATGGCTCTTTCAAGGAAAACCAATTATAAACCTCCAAACTTACATTACATGATACAATAGTTCTTTATGCAACAATACATTAATCCAACAACAAGTAAGTAAACAAATAAATACCCCCAAGGGTTTACGAGTTTCCAAGGCTTGAGCCTAGTTACACAAAACGGTTATTCAAACCCACACACATACAACCCTTGGCTTACACACAGAGTCACAACAAAATGAGAGTCTCGTACTCTCAACACACATTTCCTCGTCTTTAGTTAGGCGGCATCACCACATCTTTTCCTGTACAAAAATCTCGTAGGGTGAGCATAAATCCTAGTAGGAAATCCTTAACAAAGTATATACATTTTCTACAAGTCTCAAGAGATGAAATACACATGCCATGCTATGCCCTTTTGAAAGAAAATCACATCTTCATCTTTGAAAACTATCATGCTCGATGATGTCATGCAATTTCAATTCTTCAAAACTTAACAATTCATTTCAAGAGCGGTAAATACGACTCTGGTAATCCCTAGGTTAGTGTCTGCAAATAGATTATACAAGTACTACCAATTTGTCATTTTTACCAATATTAACCGGAAGGCTCGACACCTATCCGCGTGAGTATTCGATCTTTCACCCCGGACTCTCAAGCCAACTTATTCAATATCATCTACACCACCTATCAAGACTTACCAACGTATTTACCCCAAAACCATTCCATGAAAATTTGTTTCTCAACATTTTTTTTCTCAATGCAAGTTTTCAAATCAACTTTCAAAGTTTAATGTAATCAAATGAATTGATATGCCAATAACACAAGATGAATAGAAATACTTTTATTACAATTCATCATCCAAGGAATAACACAATTCCCTCTTTTCAAGTATCCTCAACAATTAGTCATTTCAAAACTATTTCAACGTTTTGAACAATAATTTCCAAAATGAACAATTATTTACATATTCCCTGAAATTCATCATTTATATAAATATGAATAAGAAATTTTTCAAACATCCATTTATTTTGACACACAAAATAAATATAACAATATCATTCATGGATATTCAGCCTCTTTTAAAAAAAAATCTCAAAAGTCTAGGTTTTCTCACTAAAACTATACAACTCAAATCTTTTGGAAGAAAACTTTCCAAAAATCATCTCTTATTCAATCAACAAAGATCAAAACCCATAAGATTATTTTAAAAGAACAAGAGACAAACCCACTTTCAAAATCGCTCAACTTCTTGAATCAACAATCAATTTTCAAAGCTATCGAAAGATGATTTTGAAAATCATATAGATCTTGCAAAAATATATATATATAACTCTAAGAAAATCCCTACCTTAAGTTTTGAAAAAAAAAATGAGATGAAACCCCCAAAATCAACGGTGTCGAAACTCGATCTTCACTGCACACAACAAAGCCCTCGAGAAGTTAACCAACTTTGATGAAGAACTTATGGCAGAACTCTAATGGATCTTAAGAAATCAAGGTTTTGATCCGATTTGGCATAGGGAAATGTAGAGAGAATGGAGAGGGAAGGCTTTTTAGAGAGAGAGAGGGATATACAAAAGTGATCTGAAATATTAGATTCATGAACTGATATAACATGGTCCGCTCGAGCGTGAAAAGCCCCGCTCAAGCGTCAAATGCACTTTCCCAGTACTTTTGCAGACAGGTTAAACTTCTGAAACCAAACATTCTCCGCTTGAGCGCATAAACAGCTGCTCGAGCGGACAAGCAACTTCTAATGCATTTTTTATTTTTGCTTCGGAAGCGCTGCCCCTCAACCCCGCCAGGGCGCTGCCCTAGGACCCTCTAAGGGGCGCTGCCCCTTAGACTCCCGCGAGCTGAACGGGCAGCTTGATCCCCTCCAGGGCGCTGCCCTTAGACCCGCCAAGGGATGCTGCCCCCTAGACCCCCACGAGCTAACCGGGCAGCTCGATCCTCGACATATTCAGCGAAGTGGCAAAAGTAGGATCGCTACAACCTTCTCCCCTTAAAGAATTTCGTCCTCAAAATTTCAAATCAAACTACCCAAACAAAGGGTTTCTAGCAATCCAAACCACACTATTTCATTTTCAAATCACAATACTAACTCTCAACCAAATTCCACCATTTCTACCATGGTTATCTCATTAACAACAACCTCCCAAATACGCATAAACATGAAATTTCCTAAAAAGTAATAGCAACTCTCAACAACCTTATGCTTAAAACAACAACGCACATATCAACATTTAGTTAATAACTTTAAATACGTTTCCCTCAACACTAAGGAATATTACAAAGAAAAGTAACTTAAGCATTTTCAAATAAATCCAGATATTTGGAGCGGACTTTCGCCTCCAGTTCCCACGTTGCTTCTTCAACCCCATGGTGTCTCCACAACACCTTTACCAACGGTATAGTTTTGCCCCGTAGCACTTGCTCCCAGGTATCTAATATTTGAACCAGTCGTTCTTTGTAAGAGGCATCCTCATCTACCTCCAAGTCATCCCAATCAAGCACATGAAAAGAGTCGGGTTCATACTTCCTAAGCATAGCTACATGAAATACGTTGTGAACTCTCGAAAGTTGTGGCGATAAAGCTAACCGGTATGTGTAGCACGCACCCGCGAGGGACCCTCGCTACACGCTACAGTTCGAACTCGATTTTGTTTGCGGTTCTAAATCTGAACCAAAGAGTCCAAATACGGCAAATCGTTTTGAGAAAACAGATTTTTGAAAAGAAGTGCCAAACATGGACTGCTTTGCCAGATACAGAGTCGCCACCTAAATATTTTAATGGGGGAATTTAGGAAACCCTGACTCGGTGCCAAAGGCCACGTGTCCGTCATCACCAAAGTTGCCTCGGCTCGAGAACTTGGGTACGATCGGGAAAGGTCAGCTATGAGCACCCCCTCTCACCCGATCCGAAGACCGACCTCTACTAACCGTGATATCCGTTTTTGAAAACGTTATGTGTTCTTATTCCGGTTATTAGCCTAGAATTACTATGTTATGCGCACAGCAAACAAGTATAGACTAGATTGCCTAATTTGGAAATAAGCATTTCATATCCGTTTGTCTTGAAAAACACTTTGGAATTTGCTACTCGCAAGTAGGCTAAAATACGGATTTCAACGAGTTTTTCCAACTCAGACAATCCAACCTTCACCCACAGGCATTCAAACAGTTTATCACATAAGCATCTAGCCACATGGTAAGCATGTTGTCATGATAGCATTCACACGCATGCGATATGCTAAAGCATGAAAATACTCACATCGTACTCCGTGCCAAAACAATAAACTAGTTAGCAAACATGCATGGTCCTAGTTCATGTTAAGTTTGACTAATGCAACACATACAGGATGCAATTAGAGTAGGCTCGGCTAACTTAAACATGGCATGTGAAATGCGATCAATTGATGCATGTATTCAAGTTAGATTTGAAATACCAATGCAGTTAGCGTGATGCGCCGAGCCCGATGCATGTAAGACAAATGTATGGATGCACGCATGCAGTCATACTGTATGCTAATTTAAACATGCCCCGATCTACCATCATAAGCGGGTAAATAAAAGGGAAGAAAGAAGTGGGGATTGGAAGACATGCACACACACGCACCCACACTTATTACAGATTCGCCCTCGCCCGGAGGGACCGAAAGAATAATACAGTTCGAATAATGAATTAACTATCCTAACTAATTAATTATTACAGACCAACTAAATTAATTGAGCAAATTAATTAATCTAATTAAGCAATAAACAGTCCCGGGATGAAGGCCCAATGCAGTGCGCGCTCGGTTTTGCTCGAAAATCCGCCACCATGCACAAGATGCCTCTGTTTTCCCTACTTTACTCCTCTGATGACTGCCAAAGCCTCAGAGTTTACTCCGTAGATGCTGGGAAACACCACCGGCTGAAGGAGAACACCACCGGCCATGTAGAATGGTCACCGGCCACAACTTTGGTCCATCGGCCAACAACGGTGGCCGATCGGCACTAAATGTGGCCGGTCGGACAAAAGTTCCTGCAGAAGCTGTTTTGACAGCAGCAGAGGGCAATACTTGGCATGGCAATGCATTTCAAACAATGTATGCACCAACCCTATCTCTTATCATGTGTATGACTCAAAGGGACATGATCCTTGGTTCTCGGGCCATCAATCGCGCATTTCAATGCGTGATAGCCCAAGAGACCAAGTTGTGCATTTTCATGTCAAATGAAATGCAAACCAAATAAACACATAAAGGCCCAACCTCTATCACTTGACTTCAAGAGGCAAGGCATGCATGTTCAATGCGATGTAACCTAAGCATGTTAGCTAATATGCAAAATGGCATAAAAGAGAGCATACAAACATGCAATGCACATTAGGTACACAAACTAAGCAACAAAGCAAACAAGCATGCCACAATTGTGCAAACCACTAGAGCATGCAAGATGTGATCCAATCATGCAACATGTTAGCAACTTGACCAATGGGATACAAGGCGAATGCAAGTGATTTCAAGCATGTAACATGTGCAACCAAAGCATGCAAACATGGGATGATGTAACAACACTTGAATGGCATGCAAGGGATGGACTTACACTAATTGGACGGCTCTAACTTAGGTCCAAAACAGTGGCCAAAGTTTAAGAAGATGGGACCAAACACACATACACACATGCACGTGTTAAGGCCTAAACACTTAAGCATCAAAGGGCATCTTTTAAGCACACTTAAAAGGGAATAATCATGGACATAGGGCATGCATTAAGCTCTGAAAATCATGTAAGAACATGGTGCCAAACCAAGCAAACAAGATAGGCTAGACATGCAACAAATGGCCCAAGTCTTCAAGGCAAGCTAATGAAGTATTGAACTACACTTGATATGACCACACATTGCAAGACTTAAATGACCAAAAATAGAGTTTTAGCACATAAAACGAAGCCCAAAAGACCACTTAGATGGCATCTAAATGGCTTGAATTCAAAAGCATGCACAATGACCAAAACATGGAGCATACAACACAAGCTTTCAAAGCATTAAAGAGGTGTCCAAGGCAAGCATACAAGCATGTCAAAGGGACTGAAATGATGCTACAAATGGTCTCAACCCGCTAAATTAAGGCAAGGATGCATGCTATATATTTACACACTTAAGGCCAACACACCAAAAATGCAAAGGGGCTATACTAAGCATGCCAAAGTCGACCCAAACAACTAAGAACAGACCTCAAACATAGCAAAATAAGCACAAAACCTTCACAAAGCTAGGCCTAAAACATGCTAGAACAATGGTTTACAACCTAAGGCA